CGGCCCTGGCCGATTTGGCTCAGCGGTTAGAGCATCGGCCTTCAGTCCAGAAAAGGGGAAACAAAGGAAACAATCCTATCTACAATTGCACCAAAAAATATTAAATACTTAGGAATAAATTTAACCAAAGATTTAAAGAGCTGTACTCAAAAATTATATGATATTGAGGCCTGAAAACTGTAGATTGTATGTGAGTTTATTCTGCACACGGATGGACTCACGCACAGGTTAAACAAGGTTATTCTGCACACAGATGCCTTGGAGTGCTGCTCAACTCTTAGAACAATTCAGAGCATGTCCTGCACACAGGCTGGCTCCTCCTCCTTGTCTGCAAACAGGAAGGACCAGTTGTTCTTAAGATCAGGGCTAACTTTTGAATGGGGGTTGATAAGAACCAGCAGGGGTGATAATTAGATTAGTTATCTTGAAAGGAACTGGGCCTATCTCCTTGGCTATAAAAGTAAACTGCTGCAGAACCTCCGGGCTGCAGTTTTGTCTGTCTTTGTGTGTGTTTGTGTTTTTTGCTCATTTCCCAGACCCTCACGGCAACAGAAAATGAAGGAGATACAAATAAGTGGAACCATTTACTGTGTTTATGGATAGGCAGAATTAACATCATTAAAATATTCATACTTAGCCCTGGCTGGTTTGGCTCAGCAGTTACAGTGTTGGCTCATAGACCAAGGAGTCACAGATTTGATTCCAGTCAAGGGCATGTACCTTGGTTGAAGTTTGGTCCCCAGCCCTGGTCGGGGTCATGCAGGAGACCAGTTGATGTGTCTCTCTCACATTGATGTTTCTCTCTCTCCCTCCCTCCATTTTTCCCTCCCTTCAATTCTGTCTGAAGAGAAATGGAAAAATATCCTTGAGTGAGGATTAAAAAAACAAATAAATAATAAGTGTTAATATTACTCAAAGCAATCTATAGATTCAATGCAATTCCTATCAAGATACCAATGGCATATTTCACAGATCTAAAACAAATATTCCAAAAATTGTTATGGAACCACAAAAGACCCCAAATAGCCACAGCAATCTTGAGAAAGAAGAATGAAGTTGCAGGAATCACACTAATTGATGTCAGAATATACTACAAGTCCATTTTAATAAAAACAGCCTGGTACTGGCATAAGAAGAGGCATATAAATGAATGGAACAGAACAAAGAGTCCAGAAATAAACCCATGTCTTTATGGTCAATTAATATTTGACAAAGGAGGCAAGTACATACAATGGGATAAAGACATTCTATTCAATAAATGGTGCTGGAAAGACAATAAATGGTGCAAAAAAAAAAAAAAAAATAGACCATCTCATTACACCATACACAAGAATAAACTGAAAATGTATTAAAGACTTAAATGAAAGGCCTAAAACCATAAAAATCCTAGAAGAAAGAATAGGCAGTAAAATCTTAGACATATCTCATATTAATATTTTTTTCTGATATATCTCCTCAGACAAGGAAAACAAAAACTAAGCAAATGAGACTACATAAAACTAGTTTTTGCACAGCAAAGAAACCATCAACAAAATGAAAAGATAACCCATGGGATGGGAGAACATATTCATCAATGATACATCTGATAAGGGTTTAATATCCAACAGTTATAAAGAACTTATAGAACTCAACACCAAAAATACAAGCAACCCAATTAAAAAATGGTCAGTGGTTGAGCATCAACCCATGCACCAAGAGGTTGCCAGTTAGATTCCCGGTCAGGGCACATGCCCGGGTTGTGGGCCTGATCCCCAGCTGGGGGGCAGGAGGCGGCCAATCCATGTTCTCTCTCATCGATGTGTGTTTTTCTCTCTCTCATTTCCTCTCTCTGTAAAAATCAATTAAAAAAACAAAAAGGTGAAAGGACCGGAATAAACACTTCTCCAAAGAGGACATACAGATGGTCAACAGACTTATAAAAAGATGCTCAATGTCATTAATACAAATTAAAACTACAATGAGATATCACTTCACACTTATCAGAATGGCTATCATCAATAAATCAACAAACAATATGTTTGGATGAGGATTGGAGAAAGGGGAACTCTTGTGCACTGTTGGTGGGAATGCATAATTGGTGCAGACACTGTGGAAAGCAGTACATATGTTCTTAACCTCAAAAAATTAAAAATGGAATTACCTTATGACCCAGTAGTTCCACTTCTAGGACTACATCTGAAAAACCAAAAACACTAATGCAAGAGAATTTATGCACCTCTATTCCTATGTTCATTGTAGCATTGTTTACAGTAGCCAAGATTTGGAAGCAACCCAAGTACCCATCAGTAGATGATTAGATTAAAAAGCTGTGATACATTTACACAATGGAATACTAATCAGCCCTAAAAAAAGAAATTTTACCTTTTGTGACAGAATGGATATGGACCCTGAAAGTATTATGCTAAATGAAATAAGCCAGTCAGAGAAAGCTGTCAGAGGAGATGCGGGTTGGTGGTCTGGGTAAAAAATTTGCAGGGATTAAGCAAAAATTAAAACAGTAACAATAACAAAAATAATCAGAAACACATAGAACAGTATGTTGATTACCAGAGAAAAAGGGGGATTGGGAGGTAGACGAGTGTGAATGGGGGATAAATGGTACAGAAGGAGATTTGACTTTGGGTGGTGAACATATAATACATTATGCAGAGGATGTATTATAGAACTTACATTTGAAAACTATATAATTTGATTAACCAATGTCATCCCAATCAATTCAATAATATTTAAAAAAAATAAATTGAGATTAGTTGGTTACCTTCTTTTTTTATATATAATTTTTTTTTTAATCCTCACCCGAGGACATTTTTCCATTTTTTTGTTCAGATAGAGTGGGAGGGAGAGAGAGGAAGAGAGAAACATCGATGTGAAAGGGACACATCGAGTGGCTGCCACCCGCACGACCCAATCAGGGCCAGGGACAAACTGCAACCGAGGTACATGCCCTTAGCAGGAACCGAACCCGGGTCTCTCTGGACCGCAGGCCAATGCTCTAACCGCTGAGCCAAACCGGCCAGGGCTGGTTACCTTCTTTTTAGAAAAGTGGAAAAATATAATAAAATTAAGGAATGATCATAATAAAATAAAAACTCTATTAGATTTCACTGTAAAAACATAAATAAATAATTTAAACCTTAAAAATATTTAAAAACAAATGAAAAGAAGTGTGTTAAACCCTACATCTTTCTTTAAAAAAGAAAAGAAAAAAACAGGAAGTGAATAAAAGAGAGAATCTTAAGTAGGGTAGATGCAATGAGAATAGAGAACATTGTTAATGAGACTTACATTAAGAGCCACTGTTGGCGAAGATTTAACAAGAAAGGCAGGTGATAAATTTAGGAGAAAATTGGGTTTTATTTAAAGGTAGGAACTTTTGAAGATAAGGTCAAGGATATTTCTTTTCAGCCAAATAGCACACAGTAGACCCTTACTATATATTTGTTTAGTAGATGAATACATGAATGAATGATTTGGATTGAGTTCTAAAGAGAAAAATGAAATGATTTGGGTTGATTTCTAAAAGAGAAGAGTGGAAGATGGTAATAGGAAAACCGAAAGCTGAGAGAGTCAGTTTGAGGAAGATGGGGCTGGTTGGAGAGAGATGGGAGTTAAGCAGAGTGTGTTTGGAGGCCTAGGAGCTAGATTAGGAGTTGGCCAATTAGGGTCCATGAGCCAAATCCAGCCCAGCACCTGTTTTTGTTCAAGCAGCTCTTGAGCTAAGAATAACTTTTATATTTTTAAATGATTGAAAAAAATCCAAAGGAGAGTAATATTTCATGACGTGAAAATGATATGGAACTCAATTTTCAGTGTCTATAAATAAAACATCTTTTTGTTGTTTTATTATAGCAGAAGGGAGCAGCCTGCACCTTACTGGAGCAGTAATAATGTGCTAAGCACTTTATAAAAATTATCTCTATAATTCTCAAAACAAAACTCTATAACACATATTCATTGTTCCCATTTTACTGAGTAAACTGAAGTTTATGTTTCAGCCAACGTCACATAGTTCATTAGTGGCCAAGTCAGGAACTATACTCACATCAATCTGCCTTTCTAGACTTCCCATTTTCTCCTGGGATTAAAAACCATGGCCCCGAAAGTAATGAGACCATAAAATGCTTATAACAGAGGGTTTGGGAGTATGCAGACTAGTTAGAGGGCAGTTTTGGAACTGAATCAGAGAAGGAAATGGTTAGACAAACACATTTCTAAGAGATGTATATAGATTAATTCATTTAATTCTCACACCTCCTCCATGAGTTGTATACTATCATTAACAATCCGCTGTTGTGTAAAGGGTGGCTTCCTTTAAGACCACTTTCCAGGTAAAAGGTCCAGCATTTTGGTACTCTTAACACTTTGGGTCTTTTGCTGGGTGAAACTACTGGATCTCCAAGAACTCATCCAAGCCTAAGCATCTGTGATCCCACCTTCAGAAGTACTTACAGAAGGTGTCTCAGCTTTTACCCTGGTGCCCTGCATTCTTGCCTGAAGACTCCTCTCTCAATCTTCCCATTCCCCCCCCCCCCCCATAGAATTCTGAGACCTTCTAGCTAATTGTTCTCTGATTCTTAAATCACAACAAATTAATAAGTATTTGAAGAAATGCAGCAGATGAGTTTAAAGTTCAACTGTTTAGGGACATGAAGACATAAAACTCTTCACAGAAAGCAAGAAAGTTATGACAGTCATACGTCAAAAATTTCAGCTGCTGTAAATTTCAAAAAGCACTTTGTAGTTTTGCATTTTGTAGCTGGCCTGTTTATGTCTGTGTTTGTAATCTCTGGCCCTGGAAAGCAGCACTTTCCCACTTGGAACTTACACGCAGGCAGCCCGGGACAAACAGGAAGTGATTAGAATGTAATTTGTTTATACAACTCTCTGAACTTTGGGAGTTTTAAAACAAGTTTTACAGCTGATTTACTGCCTTGCTTTACTACCTCCAATTCGTATAAAACAAGTGTGTAGGGGTTCGAATATCAGTGCAAAGTCCCTTGGTAATAAGCTTTGCACGCCAGCTATTCCCTTGCTGGTTAAATTCAAAGCAAGCTTTTTTTTTCCTTGAATATAAATTGGTGGGGGTGGAGAGAGAAAAAAGGAACTGGGAAAAGAGGGGAAGTTAAACCTTCTCTCCCTCCCTGTCATCCTCAGAAAACCAAATATGGCATCTTCCATGAGGAGCTTGTTTACTGATCACAGCAGATACGTTGAATCTTTTCGAAGGTTTCTCAACAATTCCACGGAACACCAGTGCATGCAGGAATTCATGGACAAGAAGCTGCCAGGCATAATAGCAAGGTAACAAAAAAGGACGTTTTGTCAAAGGGACAAGCCTCCCTGCTTTATTTTCAGTGATAGATGGGTGGAGTCCAGCCCTGCAGGCTGGGTGAGGGGATAAGAACCTGCTACTGATAGCAGTTCCCCTCCCTCCTCATCCCACTGTACCCCCTTTTTCCCGTGGCGCTTTAGTTAGACATTTGCTGTAAGCATTCAAAGGACCCTATTCGCGCAGCATTTCCAGCTGCAGGGAGATAAGCATTAACTATTTGAAGGCACAAATCCATGTTCATTTGGGAAAAGATAAGATGCAAATCTTTGAGCTCAGATTTTCTCAACCCTCCTCTAAATTCTGCATTCAAAAATGTTCCAAATGGAATCTAATATTCTTTTCATTAGTATCAAATATAAATAATTACCAAATACTATTTGCTCTTGAGGATTGAGTGGGTACCTCTCAGTTCTCCTAATATCCATTTAAATTCACTTTTCTTATCCATTATTATAGTTATCATGCGCCAAAAAAAAAAGTGTCTTTTCCTTTTAACTTAATATTAGTGATGTTGCCCAAAAGAAAAAGCATTTTCCTATTATCAGTGAAACTCACTAGTTCCTATCCTTCTCCCAGACTGCTGTTTTTGGTGATTAATGTGTTCAATTTGTGCCAGAGCTGATAAGCATTATGAGAGTAACAGATTCCACATGCTAAAGATAATCAAATCACCTATCTAGGGGTGGATTGCTGTAACTTACTCTGCTTCGGGAAATAATGATGGAAAACTGGGAAGAAATGCCTGACTGCAGATCCAATCAGCAGCAGCAAAGGAAACTGAAATTTTATCTTTTGCAGGCTTTCTCTAGTATAGGCCTGAAATTCTTTCACCGAAATGGTATTTCTGCCTGACCAGAGCAGATATTGCTGGATGTATATTCGATTCTGTTTCCCTTTCTATTTTCTTATGGTTTAGTTTTTAAATTAAAAAAAAAAATCAATTTATAGTTGACATACAATTAAAAGTAGAGCATTATATTATTTTAATAATTAAAAAGTAATAGAATAATGATGTACAAATCAAAGCAGAGAGCAAATACAGACAAACTTCTTATCTGGGAACTGATTATAGTTTATTTCTGTGGGTCTCATTTCTAAAATTAAAAGTAATGAGTTGAGTTCTGAATTCTTTTGCAGAACTAAGTGTTTGTGTTCATGTCTGTAGATTGTTCAGATACTTGGTCTTTTTTATTATTATTATTTTTTTATTCTTACCCGAGGATAGTTTTGCATCCATCTTCAGACAGAGCGGGAGGAAGAGAGAGAGAGAAACATCAATGTGAGAGAGACACATCAAGTGGTCACCACCCACCAACCAAGGTACGTGCCCTTAGCAGGAACCAAACCCGGGACACTCTGGTCCACGGGCCAACGCTCCAACTGCTGAGCCAAACCGGCCAGGGCCAGATGCTTGGTCTTCTTTTTTTAAAATGTTTTTTGATGTGTATTTTTATTTATTTTTTAAATTAATTTATTTATTTTTGTTACAGATGTTTCTCCTTTTCTCCCACTGACTCCCCCTCCCCCTCCCTTCCCACCCTGTCCCCAGCTTTGTTATGCATGTACATTGTTCATGCATACATGCATATGAGTTCTGTGGTTTATCTCTCCCTCACCACCCCCTCTTCTGGATGCTTGGTCTTCTTTAGCCACCAGTTTCATTTGAAGAGGCACTATAAATGACTATAACATAATAAATGATGACCTTTTTCTTCAAGGTGTATACAATCCAATTGAAAATATTAAATTTGGAATTTGTAAAAGACTGAAGAACTTTCAAAGGCATAAATAAGTTTTCATTATAGTGGTAATATATAATTAGAAATTATCTAAATCAAAGTATCATTTATTAAAAAAGCAATTTTTATTTTCCTGAAGGTGATCGATGTTTGGAATGAGATTTAAGTAAAGAAACTTTAAAATTGCTGCTTAGCCCTGGCCGGTTTGGCTCAGCGGTTAGAGCGTCGGCCTGCGGTCTGGAGAGACCCGGGTTCGGTTCCCGCTAAGGGCACGTACCTCGGTTGCAGTTTGTCCCCGGCCCTGGTCGGTTGTGTGGGTGGCAACCACTCGATGTGTCCCTTCACATCGATGTTTCTCTCTCTCTGTTCCTCTCTCTCTCTCCCACTCTACCTGAACAAAAAATGGAAAAATGTCCTCGGGTGAGGATAAAAAAAAAAAAAAAAAAAAAAAAAAAAAAAAAAAAAAAAAAAAATTGCTGCTTAAAGTTGTTTCTAAGTTTATAAGTACACAATATGCCTGTTTTATTTTTCATTCTAAAAAACTTTTTTGAAAATCAAATGGTTATAAAAATCTTGTAACAACAATAGCAAAAAAAAAACCAACAACAAAAAAAAACTGGTTCCTTGCCCTACCCACTTCCACTCTCCAGAGACAACCATCTTCAACACTCTGAAATTTTTCGGTTGTTTCTTATGGAATTTACTTTCCTATTTCTAAATAACATGTTATTCTTTTCTTTCTTATGTTTATTGTATTAAAATAGCTAACCAAACATGCACATTTCCTCCTTTATCATGTCAACAGATTTATGTCGAAATTTTTGGTTAAATAATTTGAGTGTTTATATTATTTTGCCTACGTACTTAATACTCATATTTGAACATGCACTCATTATACTACAACTAGATTTCCTTTCATGTCCAATTTTATTTTTTATTTTTCCTAAACTACTGTCTTAATTTTAGCTTATTTTCTTAGTTTTCTATGAACCTGTTATTACTTACACCCTAAGTAGAATTATTAATCTCCTCTCAATATATTCCAGCAGATCAAGTAATGCTACTTTTTTCTCATGGGAACATCTTTTCTGTAGTTGTCTGTTCTTTTTTTCCCCAGTCTATAGTGATTTGCTCTTGGCTTGCTATACAATTATTGATAAGGAAAATTATTTCACCTTTTATAAATTCTCTTGTCCTCTCTCTGGTATTGTATTTCCTGATTCTGGATCTCATGCCCTTCTTTTCTTCTTTTCCTTTATCTTATGGTTTCTTTTCTTTTCCTCCCCCGCCCCTCTCCCCCCCCCCCCCCCCCCCAGCTAATCCTTTAACAGCTTCCCAAGAAGGAGGATACTGGGAGGTAAACTTTTTGAGATTTTGTATTTTTAAAATGCCTTCACTCTGTGCTCATCTTTGTATAGTTTGACTATAGGGTCTAACCCTATAGTTTGAGTATAAGGTCTAAAACTCTATGCTGAAATGATTTTATATTGTAAATTTAAAGGTATCCTTCCATTGTCTTTTAGATACCAGACTTACTGTTTAGAAATCCAATACCATTCAAATTTGTCATTTTGGCTTATGACCTTCTGTTTTGTTTTTGTTTTCCCTATTTAGAAGCTGTTAGAATTTTCTATCTAGTATTACAAAATTTAAATATAATGAGCTGTGGTGTGGGTCTTTTTCATCCATTTTTGTTGGCACTGCCTGGGCCATTTCAATTGAGATTCAGATCCTTCAGGGAAACTTTGGTATTTCTAAATCATTTTTCCCATTTCTTTCGCTTTTCCTGGAATTTGTATTCAGCAAACACTAGACCTCCTAAATTGATTCTCTAATTTTCTTATATTTTTAGTTTTCTATAATTTTATCTCTCAGCCTTTCTATTAACTATTTTCTATTATATTTTTAATTTCCCAAAGTATTATTTTTATAGCTTCCTATTTATCTTTCACACATGTCACACCTTCTTTTTTAATAAAATTTTTCTCTGCTTTCTGCATTTTTCTTCTAAGTTCTGGTTTTGTTTTGGTTGGTCTCTATCTTTCATGCTAGGGGAGTTCCCAAACTACCTGATAAGCATCTGCTGTACATTCAATCAAATAATGAGGCGCTCAGAAGTGATCCAGATCCTCCTTGTATATGTAAGGGAAGAGTTTGTTGAGTGGCTGGCTCACTGTAACAACTGGATGTGGACTCAGCTGTTTGCTAGGAGATTCTCAGATGTCAATATATGTAAGTTTATTCACTGAGACCCTCTATCTGGAAGGGAAGAGTTGAATGGAGAGAGTTACAGTTTACAGCTGTAAATAGTAAGGCTTTGTTGTTGTTATATATAATACATTTAGATCCTTGCCTGGAAAACATTAAGTTTTCAATGATTATTAATTATCATCATAATATATGAAATGGGATAATAATAGATTATAACTCACAGAGGAGTTGTGAGGATTTAAAGAGTTAATTCATTTAAATCACTTAGCTGTGCCTGGAACAATAATTGTGAATATATATTGTGTGCTTGTCATAAGTAGACACATATCTAAGAGGTTTACATGAATTAAATAATTTAATCCTCATAATTCCTCCAGGAGTTAGATATCATTACTGTAATCCTATAAAGTAAGTGGTATTATTATTCTATTTTATAGGTAACAAAGATACAGAGAAGTTAAATAACCTGTTCAAGGTAACAAATCAGTAAGCTGGAATTTCAACCTGGATGCTCTGATTCTTAGCTTCACTATGCTATACACAGATATGGGCATTTTTAAGAATTAACAAAGAATATAGATAGGAAGAAGTATATTAAGACTCATGATTATGAGCTGGAAAATAATTAGAACTACAGAAGGCAACTCATTCACAGGTGTCCCTGAGTCTATACTTTCCAGTTTCCTTAAGAACCTTGCTTTAAACTCCTTCATTCTGTTATTCTGTGCAGGTTCTTTAACTTTAGCCGAAGAGCAGACTTGTTTACCATCTTAAAGCCCAACAAACAAACATACACTCAGTTCACGTCTCCCCTCTAGCTGTCACCCCTTTTCTTCTCACTCTTTCATACTATTTCAACAGTCTCTCTAGATTTTTTCCCTCCTTATCAAGCTCACTTTTAAACCCACTGTCATACGATTTCTGTCCTCAACGTACTTTTAAATTCGCTATTATCAAAAATATTTACCCGGCCAGTGTGGCTCAGTGGTTGAGCATCGACACATGCACCAAGAGGTCGCCAGTTCGATTCCCAGTCAGGGCACATGCCCAGGTTGTGGGCCCAATCCCCAGTGGGGGGCATGCAGGAGGTAGCCAATTGATACTCTCTCTCATTGATGTTTCTATCTCTCTCTCCCTCTCCCTTCCTCTCTCTCTAAAATCAATAAAGAAAAAAAATTTTCAATATGTATATTGTGAAATTCAATGGAGACTGTTTCTTTATTTTTACTTTTTAGTAGTACTGTACACTCTGCTACCTTTGACACTACTGACGGCTTTCTCTGTCTCTAATACCCCTATCATATCTCTGAGCTTTGCTGTTTTCCTCTGTCTTTGGGTATGTCTCATAATCAAGTGATTTTTTTTTTTTAATGTTGAAATGGTTTTGACACACAATTTTTTTTAATATATAAAAAGTTACATATTTCTTCCTCCCTCTTCCTCTTACCCCATCTCATACCCTGTGTTCACCCACTCTCTGTGGTAACCACTGTTAAAGTGTCTTAAGTATTCTTCGGTGGCAGATTGAGTCTCAAAAATGGGCACATATCCACATATCCCATCCCAACAGCTGGTTATTTTTTGCTTTATCAGCAATCTTTACTAACTTATTATTTATTTATTTTTGTTATAGATGTCCTTCTTTTTCCCCCCATTGTTACCCTCCTCCTCACTCCTGTTCCACACCCCCCCCCCGCCTTCACCAAAATGTTGTCTGTGTCCACTGGTTATGCATATATGCATATAAGTTCTTCGTTTTATCTCTCCCTATCCCCATCCCCAAATCCCTTCCCTCTGAAGTTTGTCAGTCTGCCCCTACTTCCATGTCTCTGGATCAACTTTGTTCATCAGCTCATTTTGGTCATTATACTCTACAAATAAGTGAGATCTTATAATACTTGTCTTTCTCTGACTGGCTTATTTCTCTTAGCATAATACTCTCAAGGTCCCTCTACATTGTCTAAAAGGGTAAGAAGTCTTTCTTTCTTATGACTTCATAGTATGCCATTGTGTAAATGTAACACATCTTTTTTATCCACTCATCTATGACGGACACTGACTGGGCTGTTTCCAGATCTTAGCTATTGTAAATAGTGCTGCTATGAACATAGGGGTGCATATATTTTTTTGATTGATGTTTCAGGCTTCTTAGGATACCTTCCTAGAATTGGGATCACTGGGTCAAATGGCAGTTACATTTTTAATTTTTGAGGAAACACCATATTGTTTTCCATGGTGGTTGCACCAGTCTGCATTCCCACCAGCAGTGTACTAGAGTCCCCTTTTCTCCACACCCTCACCAGCACTTGTTGTTTGATGATTTGTTGATGGCAGCCTTTCTGGCAGGTGTGAGGTAATACCTCCTAGTTATTTTAATTTATATCTCTCAGATAATTAGTGATGTTGAGCATTTTTTATGTCTCTTGGCCATTTGTATGTCCTCTTTGGAGCAGTGTCTATTTAGGTCCTCTGCCCATTTTTTAATTGGACTGTTTATCTTTTTTTTGTTGAGTTGTATGACTAATCTATATATTTTGGATATTAACCCCTTATGTTATGTTCTCCCATACAGTGGGTTCCCTTTCCATTCTGATGCTGGTTTCTTTTGCTGTGCACTTTTTACTTTGATGTAGTCCCATTTATTAATTCTTTCCTTTGTTTCTCTTGTCCTAGGGCCTAGGCAATGTATTGATGAACATTCTAAATGTGATATCTGAGATTTTTCTGCCTACATTTTCTTCTAGAATGTTTATGGTTTTATGAGTTGTAATTAAGTCTTCTATCTATATTTAATTTATTCTTGTGTATGGTGTAAGTTGGTGGTCTAGTTTCATTTTTTTGCATGTCCCTATCTAATTTTCTCAACACCATTTATTGAAGACTGTCTTTACTCCTTTGTATGCTCTTGCCTCCTTTGTCCCAGTGACTTTAAAAAGACAGTATTGCATCATCATTCCACTGCCCTTCTGAGTATTTCTAATATCCTTGGTTGATGGAATCTGTTCTCCTAGTTTTGACTGTTACTTTATGACAATAATTCTATAGAATACATCATTTATCCTGATCTCTCTCACCAAGATTAAATCTTGTATATCCAAATTATCTGTTGAATTCAGACTTATTAAAACAAAAGGAGAGAGAAAAACCCTGAGTAAACATAAAATTGCCATCAAGCTCTACTCTCCAGCTTCCTTTTGGGCACTATGTTTCACAAAGTCATCCTAGCAGGAAACTTGATAGTCACTGTGCACTCATAGTTTTTCTGACCCCTTTACACCTAAAGCAAGTCATAGTGTTATTTTCGAGGCCATTAATTCTACTCTATTTCTAGTACTAAAGCCATAATGCCAGGCTTTATTATTTCACATTGCATTTGAGAGCAAAGTGGTGTTTTATTCATTTTTATATCCTCAATGCCTAGATTAGGCATATAATAAATTTTTATTAAACACCTGTTTGTTGAAAAAAAGTTAGCAAGAAGAAAGTAAAGAAGGCAGATATCATAGAGACAGTATGAATCACCTCAGCCTTTCCCCATATTACAACAAAAGGCTAATTATATTAGGAGACTTAAGGACCCACCTTTTCTGTTCTTGTTCTACAAATAAATTCTTAACAAATGATCTACCTTACCTCTGAGATGTTTACAGTGTGTTTCTAAAAGTCTATCAGTTCAAGATTGTTAATGAATGGAATCTATATTCCTAAAGATTTCTGAAGACAGTATTATAACTACTGAAATAATTGGAATCTTTCATGTTGGCCTAATTTTTGTTCACTGTAATTTTAGGCTGTTCTCTTTAACTAGATATAATAATCAGATTTTTCCAAACATCTAGCACATTTTTCTTAAACTACATAATTTTTTCTTTCAGGATTGGAGACAAAAAATCAGAAATTAAGATTCTAAGCATTGGTGGAGGTGCAGGTATGAATAACACATTTTAAAATTTCACTCCAAACTTATGCTGTTTGATGGTAATATTGTTCATTCTTTGGGAAAGCTACTTTTGGAAGAGATTAGCTTATTAAAACTAGTAAGGGCAATATCACTTCAACTAAGATTAATGCCCCCATAGGTTTATAGGGTTGATTACTATCTGTAATATAGATACAATATAGTTCTGTTTTTAATAAATGGATAAACTTATAAGATAATTTGGTTAACTTTAATCCAAAATGATTTATCCATTCACAAAAAAAAGAAAATTTCTTAAGACATTTCTTAAGTTGTTCCCACTTCAAGTGTGGTCCACAGACTGGTTTTTGGTTTGCAAACTGTTGCCAGTCCATGAGGAGATAAGAAGCATGAACTGGAATGTAAATAAACACACAGGTCCCTTCATTGAAAAGTACTGCTATGGGAAAAACTACACTCAATGACATAATTAAGTTATCCTCTTGTGACCCTACTGTTTGTGTTGCACTTACCTAAGGCATTCTCTTCCTCTGATTCTGTTCCAAACCGCCCTCTATGAATTCAGCATACTCCCAGTCCATATATATATATATATATATATATATATATATATATATATCCATATATATATAATGCTTTTCATGTCATCACTACTCTTAGAACCAGTGCTTTTAGTGGAAGAAAATATGGAAAGTCTGGAAAGGCAGATTGATGTGGGTATAGTTTCTGACTCTGCTACCAATGGATTGTGTAACCTTGGTTGAAACATCGGCTACGGTTTTCTTATTAGTAAAATGGGAACAATGAATCATATCTCATAGAGTGGTAGTGAGAATTATACAGACAAAATGTATAAAGAGGTTAACACATTATTACTCTTCCTATAAGGTTCAGGTTGGTCCCTTTTGCAAAAACAAAACAAAAAATTTCATCCCCGTGCTTAGCCTTATATCAAACTCCTAAGTTGTGCTTGCCTTATGTTTAAGTTACTAGTCATCCAGAGGACTAAGTTAATATATTAATATATAAAAGTATAGTCATATATATTATTTATATCTTCCTCTTTCCCTCCTTCTCTCCCTCCCTCCATCTTTCTTTATTGTTTTCTTTTGAAACAATCATTGCTTAGTATTTGTTATCATTTGGTAACAAGTGGATGTTACATAGTGACAAGTGGTAATCTCTTGAGTCTCTTAAATATAAGTGTTTTAGCACCCCATGAATAAATGAATTGTCGACCCATATTAATACAAAGATAACCAAGAACACACTAATGGAATTGGACAGCTACTTTTTCATGTTACTATTTGTTCATGTCTCATAAAATACACTGTGATATAATGTAATAAGGACTAACCCTTAAAATAGTTTTACTTTACTATCATCTTTCACCAAGAAAACAGAAAACAACAAGAACAAATAATAAAGGATATTGTCATGAATTATTTTATAGGGAGTGTTTGAGCTAAAATATTCCATTATTGCTTAGTGGTGTTTTAAGGCCTAAGGATTATAAGAGTGATAAATTGCCCAGAGTGTCCTATTGATTCATTTAACCAAACAGTCACTCCCAGTGTGTTTTGCATATGAGTTTCAGGCAGCCAACAGTCAGTGATACTATCATTTGATACTGTCGCTTGTACTCGCATAAGAAGAGAAGCCCTACAAGAAAAAGTAATTAAAAACAATCTCTATCATGGCCAAGCTAATTGACCTTTTAATATAAAGTTAATTGAATTTCTAATGTAAATTTATCCAGATACTTATAAGCTATGGAGAGAAAGGAACATTTGGCCTGCATAGTGATTGTTACATGAAGGTGCACATAGGAGCTAATATGGAGAACTTATCAAGTCAAAGGGAACAATACTTGGAGTTCCTCTGACTGAGCCCTAACATTGTGTTAAAAACAAGCTCTGCCTTGGGGAGTATATGGGTGCCCATTAAAGGGCACACTTCATAAGAAATTGATTAGAAATATAAGAACTCTAAGAGACATTCAAGCTATAGATACCTATCGTTCACTATTGAAGTAAGCTAGGTGAAATCAAAAGCAGTACTTTTAAAATAGCTAGGTCTAGATGTCCCTGTCACAAAAGAGCAATGTTTTGGGGGTAGAAGACACTCATTCAGTTAGTCTGAGTGCTTTTACACCAACTTGGAGATGCTCACCTGGTAACCTAACTGCAAGCACCTTGCAGAAGAACAACATAAGTGAGGAACTTCCTATCCTTGCTTTAGAGCAATGGTCTCCTTAGAAGTTCCAGTCTACACTGTGTTTGAGACTTTTGCATTATCCTGTGCCTTAAGTATCCTCCCAAATTAGTCACTGAACTACAATCCATGGCAAACAAGGTCATTGACCCTATCTGGCTCAGCTCCCATAATGCATCATACAGGGTTCTACCTCAGTCTTAGCTTATAGTCCTCTCTGGTTTTACCTACTAGAGGTTCTCTTCTTGGTTTCTCAGACACCTTCAGATCATATTCTCCAAATCTTTGTTGCAAATATTCTCTCTGCATTTATAATGGTGCTATCACTTCTCCCCACCACAATGGAAAAACACACAAAAAGAAAATGAGATGGAAAGATGGCAGCAGGCAGGACTGGAGGGAGGGTGAGTGTGTGAGAGAGTGAACTAGTGTATGAGAGTGTGAGTGGACATGAAGGTGGACAACCAAACTTGTGCAGTGCAGAGACGCGGAGCAATAGGTTCCTGTGCTGTGGACGGGAGCAGCTGGCTACCGTGGTAAGTGGCTGTCAAGGGCGCTTCTCCCTGAGCCATAGGAGGTCCCTCCATTTTGGAAAATTCCAGATCTTCCCTGGGAGGAGGCAGTGGGAGTGGCTAAAGCCCAGCAACCTGAGCCACCAGTGTACCTGGCACCATCGGACCAGTGGACACCCTGTGTCAACATAGACCAGTGCACAGTAGTGGAACTCCCAAGGTGTCAGTTGCAGAGGCGTCAAACGGCTGGGAGCCCAGCACCATCCCCCACAGTAGCAGCCCAATCAGAGTCAAGATATACTCCCAGCAACAGAGGCTCAGGAGCAGAATCCATCCCCAGGCAACAGAAGCACAGACCAGCAGCTGAGATCCATCCCCAAAAACTACAGGAAAGGCTGAGCAGGAGTTGAGCCCCAGAGGGCAGCAGCACTCCCCAGCCACCAGCAGTGGGACCTGGGGCTCCACAGAGGCCTGTGCTACCCAGCAGCCCACAAGAGCGGCAGCGGGAAGCCAGAGCCTGAGAGGGACTGATGCGATCCAACTGCCCATGGGACCTGCGGGGTGCTAGGGCACCAGAGAGGCCTATGTGACCCAGCTTCCCACAAGATAGGCATAGAGCCGGGTCTCCAAAGGGACTGCACTATCCAACTTCCCGAGGGACCTACGGGATGCTGGGGTACCAGAGAGGCCTGTGTGATGCAGCTGCCCACAAGATAGGCATAGAGTGGAGTCTCCAAAGGGACTGTGTGATCCAGCTGCCCATGATAAAGGCAGGGAGTGCAGCTCCAACAGGGCCTGAGCTATAAAGCTACAGATGGTACCAATGACCAGCGACCATCTGGGAACACAGCTCCAGAGGGGCCCATGTGATCCAGCAGCAGCACTTACCAGGACACACCCAGTAGTCAATCCTCTAGGATCCACAGTAGGCAAGAGGCAACATGCAAAAAAACAGTCTGGGAGGCACAGTAGCTTTATTTGATATACAGTGAGCTGCATACATATCCAAACATCCCTCAGAGGGTCTAAAGCTACCAGACGGTTAAAATGGGGAGCCAAAGAAACAACACCCAAAGGAAAGAAAAAGAGGCATCACCAGAAAAGGAATTACAGGAAATGGAAGACAGCAACTTGTCAGATAAAAATTCAAAGCAATGATTTTAAGCGTGCTCAAACAATTTGATGAGAACTACAAGCAACTTAATAAGAATTATGAAGAGCTCACTGGAAACTACTTCAGCTTAAAAAAAGAGGTAGAAGCTATGCATAAAAATCAAGAGAAAATAAAGAATGACATAGCGGTTATTTAAAATACCTTAGAAGGATTCAATAGTAGATTAGAAAAAGCTGAAGACCGAATCAGCAACTTAGAAGACAAGGTAGAGAAAAACATTCAAATAGAGTAGCAAATGAAAAATAATTTTCCAAAGCCACATGAAAGGTTAAGGGAGCTGTGGATCAATACAAAATGTAACAACATTCACATTATAGGGATACCAGAAGGAGAAGAATCAGAGAAAGAAATGAGAACCTGTTTGAAGAAATGATGACAGAAAACTTCCCTAAACTGGTGAAGGAAAAAGTCACACACAAGTCCAGGAAACACAGAGTGTCCCAAACAAGATGAATCCCAGAAGACCTACAGCTAGGTACATCATAATAAAAATGGCAAACATTAAAGACAAAGAAAGAATCTTAAAGGAAACAAGAAAGAGACACAAAGTTAACTACAAAGGAGCACCCATTAGACTGCCAGCTGATTTCTCAAAATGATGCAGGCCAGAAGGGAGTGGCATGAAGTGTACAAAGTAATGCAAGGCAAGGGTCTGAATCCAAGACTACTCTATCCAGCAAGGCTGTCATTCAAAATTAAAGAAGAAATAATGAGCTTTATGGATAAAAAAAAAAAAGCTGAAGGAATTTACCACCACCAAACAAGCACTACAAGAAATGCTGAAGAGACTGTTGTAAGAAGAAGAAGAAACAGAGTGGGAGGGGTGGGGGGACACAGGCATAAAATTAAAATGACAACTTATAACTATCTATCAATAATTACCTTAAATGTAAATAGCTTAAATGCTCCAATCAAAAAACATAGGGTAGCTTATTGGATAAGAAAACATGACCCACATATATGCTGTCTACAAGAGAACCACCTCACAACAAACGATTCAACAGGATGAAACTGAAGGGATGGAAAAAAAAAATTTCAAGCAAATGGAAATAAAAAATAAAAAAAAGCTGATGTAGCAATACTCATATCTGACAAGAGAGTTCAAAACA